AGGTTGTAGCTAATAAACATAGCTGGACTGAATTGGTATTGTCTCTTGGAGTTCCTTGGGCTAGGCCTGACATTCTTCTTTGAATTATTTACTGTCAATTGACATCCTTTGGCATACCAATTCAAGGCTGGAATCTCCTTCTGAGTTCAGAGATCTTTCAGAAGACATTCCTTGTTTTTCCGTGTATGTTTCCCACTTCTGTGTCTTTTACGGATGTTATTGTAATATTGCTTCTTCTCTCTTCTAACAGTGCTCTGCAATTCTTTGTTAAGTTCTTCCTAAGATCTTTGTCTTGCACTAATTATTTTTTGTGTACTCCATTTGGTGTTGTCCATTTATGTAGACATTGTTTGGGTTGTTTGATGGCAGTGTCAGTAATGAAGAAACCACTGGGTGGGCAGAAATTAATAAGTCATTCTCCTGCTTCATTTCTGATTTCTAGGCCATGAGGGCAGTCTACATTTTCCTCCTTACTGTTTCCAACCATAAGCAGCACATCTTGACTGCATGTTCTGTCAATTTCATAATGAACTTGACCATAAAACTCATCAATCTTTTCTTCCTCTGCAGCAGTGTTTGGAGCATAAGCTTGGAAAAACCATCATATTAAAGGGTTGTCTGTGAAATTTAATTAATAATTGTTTGGTCATTGACTACATTGTACCAAAATACTATCCTTTCTGTATCCGTCCTGACTATGAAAGCAATGCCAGTCCTTCTTTGTGTGTGTGTGTGTGTCTCCTGAGTAGTAAACAGTTATCCTGTTACTGAAAGTGCCCAATCCCAGTCCATCTCAATTCACTGATGTCTAAGATGTCCGTTTGTAGTAATTTCATTTCATCTTTCACAGTGTTGAGCTTTCCCATCTTTGTGCTTTTTACATTCCATGTTCCCACTGTAATTCTGTCCTTGCACCTTTGGATTTTCTTTTCCTGCATAGTAACTTCAGCAACTGGATGTCCTGAAGGCTTTAATCTAGCTGCATCATAAATGTTATTAGTACTCTGAAACATCTTGAGTGCCAGCTGATCTGAGGAATCCATCATCCAGCACTATATGATCAATATCTTGTCTGTTCATGTGGGTTTTTGTTTTTGTTTTTTGGTAAAATATGGGAACGGTTTAATGTATTGCCTTCTCCCATGATGCCTTTGCTGTTGTTACTAAAAAGATCATCTGCTTCCATTATCATGTATATCACTACTGCCCAATATAGATATACCTGCCTGCTTTAGCTGGGCAGCGGGATGAGGTTCATGGCTTGAGAGATCCCTCGAAGAGAGTAAGGAAGATGACCTTGATGGAGATATGCAGGAGCTGTTGCCTAGGCAAAAGGGGCTGATGCATTTTTTAAGTCCGGAACAGCCAGATAACATTTGGAAGTGACTCAGACGCCTCCCTAATTCAACTGAACTATAAGAAAGAGGAGGAGGTGCAGGAGGAAGTACAGCTTAATCAGACATGTTATTATAGCCCATCTCAATAAAAGTAGCTTTAGCCTTCCTGTGGAGTTGAAATCCTATCCTGGTCCATCTAATAGGGCTGACACCCCTCTTGGTGGACACTCCTGGTATTCTTTGTTCATCCCTCACAAAAACATCCACTTCACCCTGATGAGGTAGCATAGTAGGAGTTGAGAGCGTAAAGAATGAAGAATGCTATAATTGA